AAATGGTATAGATCGTGTTCAATAATTGTACATCTGAAATTATACAGTGCACTCTTTAAATAAACAATCTCTTTTCATATTTCCTTTAGCATAATGCCTATGTCTCCTTTTAATGCTATAGGTGTTTATGGCTTATTGGTCTGGAAAGAAGAGTGCTCTTATTTTTAGTTTGTTTTATTTTTGTAAAAAACAAATTAATCCTGAAAAACTGTATGCATGAGTAAGGGATTTGTGAGGAGGCTAAAAATGTAACTTTAATGTATTTTTTACTTTTGATAAAGGAAGATAAAATTAGTTCTTTAATCCAATCCATTAGCAACCTTCCTTGTTCTCTTCTTTTGTACCCTTGGGGAGTGCTGGCAGTGTAGTGGATAAACATTGGTCAGCTAACCACAAGTTTGGCAGTTCAAGCTCAACAGCTGCTCAGGGGAGGGGATAAGGTTATCTACTCCGATAGTGATTTGCAGTCTCAGGAACTCTAAAGATCAGTTCCACTCTGCCCTGTAAAGGGTCACTGTGAGTCGGAATTAACCTGACAGCAGTGGGTATTTGTACCCTTATACAGACTTATGTAAAGGTAACCTCTCTGGTAATAAATAAATCATAGCTTGTTTTACTTGGTTCCCTAAGGTTTTGCACTTAAGAAATAAATATATGACTGCATTCCTGAGTAAATGTCTAATGTGTCCATAGTACAAAGTACATGCTAGCTCCTTGCGTCAACGCAGTCAGGGTTGTCTCTGACTGCCTCTGGGTTCCCTATTGCTGCATTGTAGAGGGTCTGACACCCTCTACGTCCACCCTCTATCTTTCTTTACCCTATTCTGACACCACCACGGGCCGTGTTGTCCTACTTCTATGCAGTGTTCTCTGGAGGGCCACACAGACAAACCTCACAAATAGGGCTTTATTAGGGGAGTTCACAGGTTACTGAAAGTCAGGATTCATAAACAGTATGGTTATCATTTTTGTCCATAGCAATACCTCTCCTGAGCCAGCACTCAGAGTCTTTCAGGTCCTCAGCGTCTCAGCTACATGATAATTTGGCCTCTGCCCCTAATGGGCCAGGAAGTCAACCTATTATCACGCTATCTCACAATCCCAAAGTTATCTGTGCTGCTCCTCCATCCTTTCTCCTGGTCTCCTTGCCTCCGCCTGTGGTTTCAGCCTGGATCCTCTGCTCTGCCCCCTGGTCTCCAGGCTGCAGCCTCTGGTGCCTATGGTCTCAGTCTCCATCACTTCAGACAGAGATCTTGCTTGTTCTCCACTGGTGACTTGGGTGGTGGTCCTGGGACCTCTGTGTTTCTGAGATGACTCTTATGCACAGAGGGACGGTTTCTAGATGTGTTTTTTTTGGTCTTTCAGCAGACAGTGCCCTAAGGAATCAATGAGTGTGACTTGGCCCACACCCTCTTGTAAGTTAGAAACCTAATCCCACCTTAGTTAGCATAGCAGAGAACTCCTTCCCACATGGGATTATAACCACAGGCATGGAGTCTAGCATTATAATACATCACATGAGGGCGGATGACCACAAGAGCCATATTCATGGTCTGTATCACACTCATACATATGTAAATTATATTTATGATATCATTTTACCCTATTATATTATAAAAAATACAAAATTATCTCATATTTTATGGTGGAGCAATTAAAGGACGAATATACTGGATTATTGGGGTTGTTCTTTAGCTTCCCAATAGCCAAGCCGAGTATGTCTTGTTGTAATAGTGAATATGTACTATGACTGATCTCAGACTGTGGACCACCCATAATGCATTCCATAAATGCATTAGGGAATGCATTTTCTCTCTCCCTCTCTCTTTACATCATGCTTTTGATTTTCGGGGGCCACATTCACCAGTCACTAGCTATGAAATGTATGGAAGGTCAGCTTTCTGATTCTTTAATTATTCAAAATGTCTTTAGTCTTCCCACTGATAACCTTTCTATTGAAAATCTCAGTATATGATAGTTTCTTGGTATGAATTTTGTCGGAATTTTAAAACAGTACTCCATTGTGTCCCAGATCCTGTTTTTATATTGAACTTGGCTTTTCTCTTCCAAACTTCTGCAATTCACACATAGACTTGGAGGTACCTGGGTGGCCATGCTTTTTAAAAATATCTTTTACTCTTCTAGGTAAGTTTCTTTAATAGAGCTCATCTGTCCAGGATTCTGTCCAGTGGTAAAGCAGTTAGAATAAATAGACAGGAAGTTGGGCCTGGGCTTCGTATCTGTCCACTGCCAGAGGTTGTCTGAAACATTGTCTCGACTGTCTTTGGGAAAGAACGTTCTGGTATTTTGTTGGAATGTAAAGATCTGAGTTTTGTGGAGGATGTAGTGAAACTAGGAAGTTGGGAGTAAGGTTTCGAAAGAGAATTCAAATTGATGTTCTTGTTTGCAGCCCACTTCTCACTTCTTCTATCCAATGGATATGTTCACTCTCAGCACAGGATTATCTCTGCAGGCAAGTTGGTTGAACTGATCGACTGGCCACTTCAGAAACTCACTTTTAGTGCATTCAAAACTTCAGATTTCTCTGCCTGCTAACGTGTCTCAACATTCTAATGTCTGTATTCTAGACCCATATTGATATCTCTTGTAAATTGGAGAATATCCATTTCCTTTTCTTTTTTATATTCTTTCGTATAATTGTATGTTTTTATTTCAGTAAGCTATCGGAAGAAGGGGAGATAATCTGTTAGTTTAAACCCAAAGGACTGAATTTCATTTAAAAACATGTTTAAATATCCATAAACATGATCTAATTAAACATGTGGTCATGACTATGTTGTTGGTTTTTTGGTTTTTTTTTTAACCTTATAGATAATTGCCATCTATCTTATTTCCTTTTTGACCATTTGAAAACTATAAAAGAAAGAAATAGAAAAGTAAGCAACAGCAAGAGAAATGCAGCTGAACCCTAAGCCATGCTTGCATTTCAAGAGAAGCTCTATTTAAGCTCCCTGTAGCCAGAGAAGGAGTGCATTAAGAACTTGTCCCACAAAGGTGTACATGCCCCAAAGTTTTGTAATGCTTCTGTCTGAAACAAAAATCTCCACTGGATAAAAAGAGATGCCCAACTTAGCTCAACTAAGAAGATCTTATCTCCTTCCATGTAGCATTCTCATTTCTAAGAAACAGTAGCATCTTCAGATGAGTCAGAACTCTGTCTTATCTATCTGATCAGAACTTTCCACCAGTAAATATACTCATTCCTTTTATGCAAAAACCAAAAAGTGCAAATTACTCAAAGAAAAATACATCTTTCTTGTTCACTAACGCAAAGGATTTTTTTTTGAGACCTTAATATATTGGTGGGTATTGTTTTATTCCTACAGGATACGCCAGTGACCAAAACAAAGTTCCTCTTCACATAGCGCCCAGGCTCTAGTTGGGGAGGTCAGTGATAACCTGGCAAACCATGTCACACGTGATGATAAGTGCTCTGGTGGCAAAGAATGAAGGCGATGAAGATAGGAAATATGGAGCATGAGGGAACTGTCGATGTTGTTTTAGGTATGATGGTTAAGGGAGCCCTCGCTGGTGACATGATGTTTGTGCAGGACGACAACAGAAGGCAAGGGGTCCAGGGATATCCCGCAGGAAGCACATGTGGAATGTGATTACTGTGGCCCGGTGTTTCAATCAGGTTCCTCTTTCTCTCCTTTTGATGTTGATGTTTTTGAACTGTATTTGAGGACCTCACATCACATTAGTACTTCTTGGAGCCCCTGAGTGGTGTCGGACCACCAACAATCAGAACCGACGCCTTGGCTGTGAATGCGGCTTTTGTGTGTTTTATTTTGTTTTGGGTGCTATCAGGGGTGTCTGCATTGGGCTGCTAACTGAAAGGTTGGCGGCCCTGGTTTACAGACCCAAAGGGTCCTTCGAAGACAGCCCTGGTGATGAACTTGTGAAAACTCAGCTGTTGAAAACCGCGTGGGGCAGTTTTACTCTAACACACGCAGGGCGGACTTGAGTAGAAACCGACTTCACAACAACTAGAGTGGTTGGCTTTGTTAGATATTCTTTCTTTGGACATAAATAAATTGCATTAAAAAAATGAGATAACATTTGTTTTAGGCTGCCCAAATGTAAACTTTTAGGACAGAATGACAATTTACACTTAACTTCTTGGATTAAAAGAACCTACAGTGAATGTGTGTATGGACAGAGTTTTCTAATTCAATATACCATTAAGAATATTTGAATCAGATGTAGGAACCTGATCTGCCACTGACCAGGCCAGGTTAGACCACTTTAAAGGTCCTTTCAGCTCTAAATGGTTCTACGTGCATTAAGCCTTCTCCATTTTACTGCTCCATTGATCTGATAAAGAAACTAGAACACCCCAAGGCGCACTGAAACTCTTTTAAAAGACCCAGAATTCCAGAGAGCCTAGGACCTCATTTTTGGGCAAGTTCTCTAGGACCAGTTTCATGTAGTACTAAAGCCCCAACGCTAGAAACAAAAGTGAATTGCCTTCCGTGTCACTTTTTATTAACGTGTTACTTGGGCCATTTGCATGGTTGCGTCTTGGGAAGTCCTTGTTCTTTCCTTAGTAAGTGGCTCTTCCTTGCCCTTGCAATCCCTGGCTATGAGTGAGGAAACCCTGGCAGCTCTGGAGCCACATGTCCGACCAGATGCCTATGTCGCATTGGAGGGTTACACAGTCGCTTTAGAAATCTATAGGCAATTTTGGGCTTCAAGTCTTAATCTCTGAAGCAAGAGAGTCCTTGAAATATTTGAAACTCTGGGGGAATTGTTGCCTGAGATTAGAGATTTTGGTATCCTGAGATACTCCCTTTTTTTTTTTTGTGGCTCTTTTCAGTTTATTGCATGAAGGAGTTACACTAGTCCAAGTTAAATGTGGACCCCAAATGGTTACATCATACAAGCTGTGAGGTTTTAAACTTGTGACAAGGGACAGAGGGAATTTTACTACTCATTGCAAGGAAATCCTCACTTAAGTTTCTGTGAGCCACAAGCACTTAAAATCCATGAACCTTCAGCTGGTCGTCCTGAGCCAGTCCAGTCTCTACAAGGAACTGGCATATGTGCTTGCGCTGGTCGCCCTGGAGCTGAATCACTTCTCCATACTCCGGATGCTCCATCACAGTGCCATTGCCTGCAAATGTCTTCTGAAAGGCCTTCACTAGTTTGTTTTTGTCGTAGTCATCAGCGATCCCTTGGACGGTGGTAAGGGTCTTCCTGCCGTTGCGCTGTTGAATTCTTATGTGGATAGAATCCTCTGTCCCCGCAGGCAGCAGGTCATCACCCTGACTTGCATCAGCAAAGGCGTCGGAAGAGTGGAGGTTCTGGATAGCGGACATACGATACGATTCCTTTTCCTCGGTGGAAACGGCCTGCGGAAGGCGGCGGCTGGAGGAGGCGGCAGGGAGATGGAGCGTCAGGAAGCGAGGGGGCTCGAGGGGGAGGCTGCTGAGTCCTGGCGGTGGCTCAGTGACTGGGGCCTGAGATACTCCTTAGAAATAGAATTTTATTAGCAAAAGACTTAATATTTTGTCATTCTCTATAATTATAAAGCATTGAAATAACTAACTCAAGAACCTAGGATAAATACTCTCTAATAATTGCTCTTCTATAAACAAATTTTAAATGCAGGACATTAAGCTTACATCATCACTTAATAACACCCGGTATCACTAGTCTGCCAAGAAATTCGGATGACAGGTAACCTGGGCAACCAACTAAAAGAGATCCATGTTCATATCAATTCCAAAGAAAGGTGAGCCCTCAGAGTGCAGAAATTTTAGAGCAATATCATGAGTATCATTTACACGTAAAATTTTGCTGAAGATCATTCAGCACTAGTTGCAGCAGTACATTGACAAGGAGATGCCCAAAATTCAAGTGGGATTCAGAAGAAGATACGGAACAAAGGATATCTTTGCTGATGTCAGATGAATCTTGTCTGAAAGCAGAGAATACCAGGAAGACATTTACTTGACGACACATTTTATTGACTGCACAAAGGCATTCAACTGTGTGGATCACGGCAAATTCTGGATAACATTGAGAAGAATGGGCATTCTAGAACATCTCACTGTACTCGTGTTGAACCTATACATGGATCAAGAATCAGCCTTTCAAACAAAACAAGGGCATACTGGTTTAAAATCAAGAAAGGATACAGGATTAAAAAAAAAAAGTTATTATTATTTTAGGACACAGGGTTTTATCCCCTCACCAGCACTTATTCATTCTGTACGCTGAGAAAAGAACCCGAGAAGCTGTGTTATATAACGAAGGACATGGTTAGCCTCAGGATTGAGGAAGGCTTATTAACAACTTGTGACACGCAGAGGCCACAAATGTGCTCGCTGAAAGTGAGGAGCACCTGCAACACTTACTGATGAAGATCAAGGGCTGGGGCCTTCAGTGTGGATTCCAACTCTTTGTAAGCAAAACAAAGATCCTCACAACTGGGCCAGTGGGTAGCATCCTGATAAAGGAAGGATAGCTTGAATTGTTAAGGATTTCATCGTGCTTGAATCCACAGTCAGTGCTCATGGAAGCAGCAGCCAGGAGATCAAACGATGCATTGCATTAGGTCAATGTGCTGCTCAAGACCTCTTTCAAAAGTATTGAACAGCAAAGATGTCACTTTGAGGACTAAGATGTGCCTGACCCGTCTTTTCAATCACCTCCTATGCATGTGAAAGTTGGACACTGACTAAAAAGACCAAAGAAGAATTAATGCATTTGAATTACGTCGTGGGAGAAAAATATTGAAACTACCGTGGACTGCCAAAAGAACATGCAGGTATGTCTTCAAAGAAGTACAGCCAGAATGCTCCTTAGAAACAAGGATGGTGAGACTTCACCTCAAGTACTTTGGACATGTTATCAGGAGAGCCCAGCCCCTGAAAAAGGGCATCCTGCTTGGTGAAGTAGAGGGGAAGTAAAGAGAAGACCTTTGATAGATGGATTGACCCAGTGGCTGCAACTTTAGTCTCCAGTGTAGGAACAATTATGAGGAAGCACAGAGCCAGACACGGTTTCATTCTCTTGTACGAAGGGCACTCTGACTTGGAACTGACTTAACAACAACAACACCGGGGGTGGGGTGGGGCGGTCAGCTTTTCAACACAAACTTGACAGTTTTTGACACTACCCTGTAACATTTAACTTGCTGTACGATTTCAGCCAGATATATATATCTTAACTCTTCTGAATTTTGGTCAGAAACAAACAATATTATTTACCTAACAGGGTGGTTGTGGATTAAATGAAGTAATGCATTCTTAGCTCATCACAGAAGCTCACTTAGCTACAAATATTATTTTTTAGAGCACAGTGAGAAGTTCAGCCTTATGGCTCAAGAAGTTTCCACGTGTGAAACAAAAGATTTCTTCAGGGGCCGCTTTGCTCCTTTGGTGGTAAGCTGGAATAACAGCAATGGAAGTGGAAAAGTGCAGTCAGAATTTTTTTTTTGTATGTGTTCCTTATACCACCATCTCTATATGATGATATACCAAGTCACACGTTGTTCCCTGAACAGTCTTGCATTACAGGAACTTACTGAAAGTGTGTCTATTATTATTTTATTTTCTTCTAGAGAGTTCATTGTTTTTTTATTTTTACACCCTTTGTTCTTTTTTTTTTGGTTGGTTGTTTAATTTAAATGCCAAAGGTATGTGTTTGAAATTTTTCAAATAAAATAAAATGTTTCTAAGTTTATATTAGCGTGGCAACGATAAAATAAGGATCTTAAAGACACATGAATAGAAACCTAAAAAGAAAAAGGAAAACCTAAATAGCAAAGAAACTAAATTGAAAAAAGGTCTCACATTTTTCATGGCATCCAGAACAGAATGTGTTTTTAAAAAGTTCAACTTATTGACAGAAATACACTTTTTGTCATTTTTATGCTTTAAAAATAACAATAAACAGCATAAAGGCTACAACAAGAATGTTGAAACCCCCTCTTAGTCGGCTCTTCAGACATCTGTGGTGTCAGTTATTCTTACTACACTCTATAGCCTCTGCTATTTTCTGTTCTTGTCTATACTATTCCATGTCTCTGGAGACATAGTCACAACCATTACATTGACTGGGCTGTGACCTGCCATTTAAAAAAATAACAGCGATCTAAAAAATACTGACGAAAATGCTATGTTGTGCTTATACATAAAGACATCTAAAAGATCTTCTCAGATGTGTAAGTTGTTTAAAATATAATTCTTCTTTAGCACTCATCTTGAATAGATCACGAAGATGCGTACTATGACGTTGGTGGTTTATTTTAAAAAATCATTTTATTTGCATACACTAGGGGGTAGCTCCCTTCCCCAAAACCAGAAATACTTTTTACAAAGCTATGCTATTTTGTTTTTTACCAAAAAACCCTACCCCTTATCATCTTCAAAGTACTCTCCATTACACTTAACCCATTTATCAAATCTGCGATTCCATTCTTGGAAACATTTTTCAAAATCACCTGTTTGGATGGCTGACAGCACCTCCCTCACTTTTCCTTCACCTCTTCTATGTCTTCAAATTGCTGGCCTTTCATGTTCCTCTTCATTCACGGAAACAAAAAGAAGTTGAACAGAGAAAGGTCAGGTGAGTTAGCTGTGTGGGGCAAGATAGACGTGCTGTTTTTTGCCCCAAACTGGTGTACTGAGATGGCTCAGTGAGCAGGTACATTGTTATGGTAGCAAAACCCGTCAGCCACAAGTCAGGCCTTTTTTGTCGCACATTGTTAGGCAATCTTTTCAGGACCTCTAAATAGAAAGCCTGATTTAACAATCTAATGGAATGAACTCCAAATACACTATGAGTCAACATTTTCATGTTTGAGAAGTTGATGGACGTCCTAAAAGGTTTTTCATCAATCGATAGTTCTCCTTTTTTTGAAATAAGAAAACCACTTGTACATTTGAGTTTTTCCCATAACGCTCTCCTTGTAATAAACTATGTTCACCATCACAACAGTTTCTGCTGGATTTTTCCTGCGCAGGAACCGCAATTTCACAGCTTCACACTGTTCCCTTAAATCGGCCACCACAAAACAAATGAGGTTCTATCAAAACTGCTTTTACAAAAAGAATTCACTGTGACTAGAGAAAATCTTCTCAGGTGATGCCACTGGATGCACTACCTTAGAGCGAGTTGGTTGCTCACCTAGCGGGACAAATGTGTTCTATGAAAGTTCCAACCAGTGAGGCTTTTTTCCGTTTTTTTGGGAGGGGTACCCCCTCGTACTTCACATATCAAACAATTTAATCATTCAATCATATTAAGATTTTTGCAATCATCAACACAATTTCAGGATATTTTCTTCTGGTATTCATTGTTGTTGGATCTCTAACTCCCCCCTTCTCTCCTACCATGCCGCTAGGCAATTATCAATCTAATTACAGTCTCTATAGATCTACCTATCCTGGATTTCATATCCATCAAAGCACACAAAATACAGATGAGAAGCAAAGAAAACAAAGAATATTGAGTAAACTCCACATAGTAAAACTTCAATAGAAAAGAAAGTAGAAAATACGAAAGGGTCATAAAAGATCAAATGATAAGGTATTACATTTTAAAATAACTACATCTACTATAATTGACTTTACAATGCTCTTTGATTGATAGCAAGGTTATTCACATCCCTGGATGATGGTCACAGGGGATTGAATGGAAACTTAATCCATGTGGGGACTCTGAAAATGGATTTGGGTTCTCCAAGTGGGAATAGTTTTTGTAAACCTGTTGTTCTGATTTGAGCATGATACCGTTACCTCCTTTGCATTTGGGTTTTATTGTTTACCATGCTTGGATCACACAGGCTGGAGGGCTTCTTTTGCGCAGACTCAGTGGACACCTCACTTAGATTGCTGCTTGTTGGAAGACAAGCCTTTAAGACTTCAGATGATATTCTTCTTGACAGCTGGACAACCTCTGATTTCTTCACTATATTTTGCTATAGCATCTATTTCTTCAGTGATCTCTTCAGGAGAGCGATCACTGAACAAGGCCATGTCATAAGAACTAATGGTTCTTAGATTGGGGCTAGAATTAAGTTCACACAGTGGCTCATTCTTGATCCTTAGTATTCAGATACTAGAAAGGCTGGAGCCCAGGTGGCACAGTGGGTGAAGTACTGGGCTGCTGACCAACAGATTAGCAGGCTGTCCCATCCAATCACTCTGTGGGAGCACCAGGAGGCTGCGTGCTTTCACAGGACCTATAGGCTTGGCAACCCTGTGGAGTAGTTCTGCTCTGTCCCATAAGATCATTGTGTCTGAATTCATTCAAAGGCAATGATTTTTTACTTTTTATTTTTCCTCCTTTCTTTTTTCTTGATTTAGAA